TGGTCGCGGGATGTTATGTCCGGGATATTTAGACGTGACACCATGAAAAAGAGAGGAATAAGTAAAGGTCTAATTGATAGAGTGAAAGAAATCTATAGCGAAACTAGATACAGAGTAAGAATAGGCAATAAAGAAACGGAAGAATTTTGGGCTGTAAAAGGAGTAAGACAGGGATGTCCAATTAGCGCGACATTATTTAACATATATATTTCAGACATAGAAGAAGAGATGAAGAAAAATCCTGGGGGTGTGAAGATCGGAAAGGAAAAGATATGGTCACTAGAATATGCAGATGACATAGTGCTTGTTGCTGAAAATGAAGATATGATGAATATAATAATAAAGGTGTTCTACAGGTATATAAAAAGAAAGAAACTAGAGCTAAGTACAGAAAAATAAAAAATAATTGTATTTAAGAAGGGAAGCGGCAAAGAAAGAAAGAGAGAATGGTGGTGGGGAGATAAAAGAATTGAAGAGACAAAAGAAATCAATTACTTAAGGTATAAAATATGCAGAAACAACAATGACGAGATGCACATAAAAGATAGAATAAGGAAAGGAAAAATTGCGATGGCATGGATATGGAGTTATGGAGAAAGAAAGTTTAACGCGGATATAATATGGAGAATGAAATTGTTCGATAGAATTATAAAACCAATAATGTTGTATGGAGTAGAGATATGGGGATATAGAAAAAGGAAGGAAATAGAGGTAGTGCAAGAGAGATACATAAGGTGGATTTTAGGTTTACAAAGAACTACCCCGGGGTATGTGGTGAGAGAAGAAATGAAAAGAGCGAAGATAAGAATTGTAGCGGGGATGCAGAGCGGCAAAATATGAAGAAAAGATGAGAAACGATAACGGAAATGTAATTCTAAAAGAATGCTGGAAGGAAAGAAAACAGGAAGAAAGCAGAGAAGATACAAAATTGGTCGACAGAAAGTAAAGAGAGAAGAGAGTACATACAGAGATGTGGCATGAGTGAGGAAGAACTGATAAGGATAAAAAGATGAAGGCATTGAATGCATGGTGTCAAGAGACAGAGAAGTGGATATGCAGGAGAGAGCGGAAAAAATCGAAAACTCAAAAGCATGTAAGGATTATAAAGATGTCAAAATAGGATGGCTGCCTAGATATATCATAGATGGGGTCAGAAAAGGGAAGGAAAAGATAAGCCTAATAGCGAGAATGAGGTGTGGAAATGAGATAAGAGGGAATATGTATTGGATGAATGAGGAATGGAGAAAATGTAGACTATGCGGGAAAGGAAACGAAGATTTGCGACATGTAAGTACGAGATGTGAAAAAGTAGAGAGTTGGAAGGGAAGAATGGATGATATGCTGAGTGACGATGGAGCAGGGTATGGATGGATGAAAGGTTTAAAAGAGATAAGATTAGAAATGGAGAAAGAAAAGAGTAAATAGTTTAAATGTAAAATTCACAATATATGTATTGTTCAAATAGTTTATAAACAGGATCGTAACAGCAATATGTAAAACCGGAAACAAGATTTGACAAATGTATAGATGTGTAAAGTCTGGCAGGCTAAACTGCTATGTAAGCATCAGAAGGTGAAGCATTAATAAATACTACTACATTTTAAATATGATGCTAATAAATAGTTTATATAAGGCAAATTATCATAATATTTAATGAATACCTTTCAGTAATAAATTCCTTGTAGATTTAAATGAGATTCAGTAGCATTATTTACATAAAAATGCTTATTAGCATCAATATATTGAATTAATTATTAATGTTAATGATAAAATATTAATAATAATCTGAAATAAATGTTGTTAGACATAAGATCCGCTGAAAATCGTTTTTATCGTTATAAATAACGATGGAAACGATTATCAACGGATCTCGTGCCTAATAACATTTATTTCAGATTATTAATATGTATATATGGGACGTTCCACGTCAACCGGGTCAGTGCTGCGGCCAAAATTTAAAGCGACGAAAAAATACGTTTGAGGTTTCAATTTAAAGCTTGAACAAAGAGCTACAAAAAGCCATATGCGCCTTAGCAAAAATCAAGATGGCGACGTCAATATGGTGGCCATAAACTCAAAATTTTTGATCAATCAACCGGCTCAGTGCTGCCGCCAAAATGTTCAGCGACAAATAAATTCGTATAAGCGCTTATTTTGAAGCTCGAACTGAAAACTTTTAAAAGCCGTATGCACATTTGCAAAAATCAAGATGCCGGGTCCAAGATGGCCGACTTTTCGTCAAAATTTGATGTCAATGCCTTTAAAAACACCAGATTTGTTTGAAAATAGATCGACAGGGATTTTTAAGGTCACTTCTCTCAAATCTGGTGTGACAGGTTCCAAATTACAAAATGGCGGATCCAAGATGGCCGACTTTTCGTCAAAATTCGATGTAAAAGCCTTAAAAAACACCGGATTTGTTTGAAAATGGATCGACAGGGATTTTTAAGGTTACTTCTTTCAAATCTGGTGTGATAGGTTTCAAATCACAAAATGGCGGATCCAAGATGGCCGACTTTTCGTCAAAACCCAATGTAAAAGCCTTAAAAAACACCGAATTTGTTTGAAAATAGATCGACAAGGATTTTTAAAGTCACTTCTCTCAAATCTGGTGTGATAAGTTGCAATTCACGTAATGGCGATCCAAGATGGCCGACTTTTCGTCAAAATTCGATGTAAAAGCCTTAAAAAACACCGGATTTGTTTGAAAATGGATTGACAGGGATTTTTAAGGTCACTTCTCTCAAATCTGGTGTGATAGGTTGCAATTCACGTAATGGCGATCCAATATGGCCGAATTGTGACTAAAATTTGTATCAATTGCCTCTAAAAACACCGGATCTTGTTGCAAAAACTGTTTTCAAATTATTGGCAACATTAGCTCTAGTGAAAAAAATGAATTCTTATTCTCAAATGCTTATTCTTACAGGCAATTAATACGAATTTTGATAAGTCCGCCATCTTGAATTCGTCATTTTGCGATTAGATTTTGTCATACTAGAATCGTAAAAAGCCATATTAGAAACCTCCATAAATCCTTTTGCAACAAGATCCAGTGTTTTTAGAGGCAATTGATACAAATTTTAGTCATAAGTCGGCCATCTTGGATCGCCATTACGTGAATTGCAACCTATCACCACAGTATATACAGTAGCGCAACTCTCCTGATTTCTTGTTGTCCAAAATGGAGTGCGCATGCGCGAAATAAGTAAGCGCCCACTAACCCCATCTGAACGTCGTTCTCTGAACTTCTTTCTCAATTGCTCTTCCTTTCTCCGTTCTGCTCCGCTCCCTCTTAGAATTTAAATGGTCAATTAAATAAATGCCTATCTGTATTGGAGCAGAAATTTGGAGGGAATTAGCTCAATTAGTCACTGAATGCTATTGAGAGCTGTTAGAAGTGTTTGACAAACTCTGAATACGTTTATGTGATTAAAGTGAAAAGAGTTTACAAAGTATAAAGACAGTGAAAGAATGAAGTGAAGAAAAGTAAAGAAAGTGATAAAAGTGAAATAAGTGATATAAGTGATAAAAGCGAAGGAAACATAAAAGAGAAATTTTTTTTCTAAGGAAATAGTTAACCTATATAAATATTATATAAGTTTTCAATTCTCTTGGAAGCACTTTGATCTTAGCTTTGTTTCAGGTGTTGCTGCATAATAATTAAAAATGAATGCGATAAGAAAGCCAAGCTGTGCAGTACCAGAATGCGTTAAGAAGTTTATTAATGTGCAACGACATTTTTTTAAATTTCCAAAGGAACAAGACAGGTATAACACATTGCTTTATATAATATTATTAAAAACAAAATAAGAAGCTTCCTTCGCCAGTAAATAAATACAAAACAAAAGTCGTTTTTGTTCGACCCGACTGGCCAAATAATAAATATATTTAAATTTCACAACGTTTCAACCGCATTTTCGGTCCTTCTCAAGTGATTCATCAAGCTATGCATCCTCAAAAACCGCGTACAAAATATCGATTACGTCGTTGACATCGTGCCCTAACCACATCATGCACACGTAAAGCTAAAAAAGTGAAATAAACTCACGATAGTCAAAAAGATAAAAACGCTCAGAAGTCATAAAATAAAAAGTAAGAATACAATTAAATTAAATAGTAGAGTTAAAAATAGTTAAGTTATAAATAGTTAAGTTATAAATAATGTACAAAGTAAAAAGTAAGGCTTACATATTCTGTGCGTCAAAACGGAAAGTGAGAACGGTAGCGCAGAACGAAGAAACGTCGCAAGCCATAGCTGCGAACACATCAGTACAGCGTGACAGACGAAGTCATACTAAATGACTGATACATAACAAATAAATAGATGTGTTCACAAGTGGAAACGAGCAGAACAAAAGTGTAAATTAAGTGACGCCAATCAAACGGTTGTAATTCGCGGGCAGACTTTCTGTGTCCTTTTGAAGATTGATTGCGCTATCACATTTTTTAATAAAAAACATCTCAGAGATTTCACGTTTCTTAAAGTGTCGCTCTTTATATAAAATTTTTGGTTGTTGCCAATTGAAATCGTGGTTATGCGTGAGACGGTGCTTACTAACTACAGAATGATTATCGCTGTTCTTCCTAATATCACAAAAATGTTCCTTAACCCGTGTCTCTAGGTGCCTTTTTGTTTGACCAATATATGCAGCGTTGCAATTAGCACAATCAATCTCATATATCAACTCCGTTTGCTTAAGATTCGGTAGCGTATCCTTCCCCCTTTTTATAATGCAATCCAATCTTTTCGGAATGGTGAGGAGAACCCTGAATTCTGCATCGCGCATTGTACGGCCAACACCGTCACTAAGGCCCTTAATATACGGTATAGTAATAAACTTTCGAGGATCATGGGCTACATTGTTACTGCTAGATCTATTATTATTATTATGACGTGTCTGTAGCTCGTTAAGTCTGATGTTAATGTACTTGTTAATTAATTTTATTGGATAACAATTATTAGAAAGAATCTTTTTTATTTCGATTAAATTAGACTTATGAAAACGTACGTCAGATAAAAGAATAGCTCGGTCAACAAGATTACGTATAGTATTAATTTTGTATTTGAGAGGGTGATTCGAAAAATAGTTTATGTATCGCCCCGAAAAGGTCGGCTTTCGGTACCAATTCGTAAGCAACACAGTCCCCTCTCGAATCACTATTGTGTCAAGAAAACTAAGAGAATTATTCTTTTCTATTTCAAATGTAAATTTTAATCTGGTGTGATAACTATTGAAAACTCTAAGTAACTCGTCAATACCAGATCTAGGAACAATCGCGAAAATGTCATCAACATATCTTTTAAAAAAAGAAATATGAAAACTAAGCAATTGCAAACAATGCGTCTCAAGGTCCTCCATGACCATATCCGCCAAAATCGGAGAGAGAGGGGAACCCATCGGATAATATTATTATTTTTTATATAAATTATATTTTTAATTGTAATGTGTGCATTACTTTGTCATTGGTAAAATGGTACAACATTTACAGATGGCTGCAATGGGTACGAGCATGTGGAAGACTGGATCTAGAACTTAAAGGTCCAGAATATGCCCACCAGAATTGTCGTTTGTGCCATTTGCATTTTGAAAACAAATGGTACAAAATTAATAAAGTTAGGGCTCGTCTTCACCCAGATGCTGTACCCACTATATTTTTTGGACCAAGTTTTCAACAACAGTGAGTTTTTACTAACAAATAATTATTAATTTTACATATTTTAATTTAATTAAATTAGTTTTGTTTCATAAAAAAGTATAAAATTGAATAATACTAGTATAAGGTAGTAGTACATAAAAAATAATAATAGCAACAATATCTAACAGTATTTACATTATTTTTTATGTATTACGCGAAAGTAACATAAAAACATAAAATACTTAAAATCTTTTAGGGACAACACAGCACCCGAACAAACAACACAACAAAGTGAGGAAAATGTGGTTAAAGAGAAAGTAGATAGGTATGCTAAATATAAATTTTCTATTTGTTATAATATTATATTTTATAATAGATATTATATGATACATATTTTTTGTTGCAGAAATACATGTGCTGAGGCAATTGTTGCAGAAATGCAAGTGCAAGAAGATAATAGGTAATTTATATTAATAAAGGACTTGTTTACGTTTATTAACCCTCAGTTACCTCACCTGGGTCTGAGAGACCCTGCACATTGTTAAAACAGGGTTTTTAAGACATTCATAAAACTCTTGTATCTTTTTTTAGTCAGTACTACATCAATTTGAAAAAAAGCAAATTTTTTCGTTTTTTTAGAAAAACACGTCTTCCCTTTTTTTAAAATAACATTTACATTTTTTAACTTGGAATAATATAACTTGCACAGTCTTGTAGATCTTTAAAAGACGCATGGATTAAAAAAAAAGACTTCAAATTGATGCATTTGTCTTGAAGATACAAGCTGGAGAAAATGGCAGGGGTCTCTCAGACCTTGGTGAGGTAATATCGGGGTGTAAAAACGTAAGGTAACTGAGGGTTAACAATAATGGCTAAAAGAAAAAAAATTGTATATTTTCAGCAAAGCAGAAACTTCACAAACAATCGTCCCAATTATTGTCAGTGACGTAGAAATAACTCAACCGTAAGTTTTTCTTTACTAATTTAAAGTTAAACATGTATTTTTATTTTCTTTATTTGTTATGTAATAAAAGTTTTCTTATAAAATATAATTGTCAGGATATATGTAATTTATTTATTAACATATTATATTTAAATTTTTTTTAACTTTAGATTTTATTTAATATTATTTTGCTGTTTTTGTCTCTTACAGCAAAATAGTTACATAATTACATATATCATATTTAAAAATAATCTTTGTGCTATGATCTAACGTTTGGAATATATTATAGGAGCACATCCACTATCAAGAAGCCTGCAGTTAGGACTAAATCGTCCGATGATAGCCCGAGAAAAAAGAAATTGCGAGAGAAATTCCAAAAATTAAAGGCGCAAAATAAAATAATGCGTGAAACAATCCGACGGCTTCGTATGGAAAAGAAGAAGAAAGCTACAAAAGTTGAAGAAGAAAACGAATTCGATCAACTAATAAAACTAGGCCGTAAGTTATTACCGGAAAAATTTAATAGAATATTAGCGGCACAAGTCGACGCACAATTAAAATGTAAACGTGGCAGAAGATATGATCCCGAATTTAAGAAATTTGCTTTATCATTATTTTTTTTAAGTCCACGAATGTACCGGGAATTGAAAGATTCAATTGCATTGCCTTCTGTACGTTCTCTACAATTATTTACGCAAAAATGAAATATTGAGCTTGGTATAAATGATAAAATTTTTGAAGCACTTAAATTAAAATTGAATACGTTGCCTCTCGTAGAACGTCATTGCATAATATGTGCAGACGAAATGAGTTTAAAAGCTCATTTATTTTATAATATATCACGGGATGAAATAATTGGTTTCGAAGACATTGGTGATAAAAAATCATCTAAACCTGCAAGAAGCGCTTTAGTTATTATGGCACGTAGTATTGCAGGTAATTGGAAGGTGCCTATTGTTTTTTGTTTTGTAGAGACTACATGCCATATGAATTTTTTAAAAAATCTGATATTTGATACAATAATTAAATTAAGAAATACAGGTGCTATGGTGCATGCATTGGTTACGGACATGGGTTCTAATTTTATACAACTGTCCCGTGATTTAGGAATATCTACACAAAATTCAAATTTTTCAGTTAACGGAGAAAATTTAGTTTACATTTTTGACACTCCACATTTAATAATAGCAACCCGAAATAATTTGTTAAAACATAATTTTGAATTTAATAATAAAGTAGCTTCGTGGGATCATATTAGACAGTTTTATATGCAAGACGTCAAACAATGGATAAGAGCAGCTCCTAAATTATCAAAAATTCATATGGACCCAAATAACTTTATGAGAATGAAAGTTAAATATGCCGTACAAGTACTTAGTAACCATGTATGTGCAGGAATGTGTACACAGACGTCTGTCGGTCTTCTTCCGACTGAAGTCGTTGGAACTATAGATTTAATTGATCATTTTGATAAGTTGTTTGATATGTTAAATTCGTCCGCCGTAAATAATCCTAAAGAACATGGAAAAGTTTTTACCGGAAGTGAAAAACAAATGCAGTTTTTGCAAGAAATGTCAGATCTTATAAAAAGTATTAAAGTAGTTAATAATAATAATAATAATGGTAAATATGTAAAAGTTAAATGCTTTGAATGCTGGCAGATAACAATTAATAGCATCATTCAGCTTTGGGAAACATTAAAAAATCATAATTTTCCATATCTCCGAACACGTAGATTGAATCAAGATTGTGTCGAAAATTTTTTTGGT